GCTGGTCTGAAAGCCCGAATGGTTGGCCCATGTTAGTTTTGTATTTATCTCTACGCCGGGTAGTTGAAAACCTACAATTCACTCGAAGCATTCAACTATTTTCTTGAATTTTAAAACAAAACAGGATAATGGAATTTGGTATTCAACAAAAGAAAAAATCAGAATACAGCTATCTGTATATGCTGGGCCATACTATTTGCTTGGTTGACCGGCCTTTATACACACCTGGTGTTTACACAAAAAAAAAATTAAAGGCCTACAAATCTCTGGAAGGGTACAAATAAGTACTCAATACTGCTTATAATTAAACTTCTGAACTGAAATTCTTTCTTGCCCGCTCTTTGCCTTTTAGGCCTGGTTTTTCGAAAAGTTGCTCAAAACAGGGGTTTTATCAATATTTTCGGACTTTTCAAGGTATCATGACTTTCATGATACCTTGAAAAGATTTAAGCAAATTTCCCTGAAGTTGTTGAGAGGGCAGTGTAGCAGTCATTAGATTTACTATCTTCATTTTGTTCCCATTTAATGTCTTACGACCTATGTTCAGGGAAAGCTTTAAAATCAAATTAACTGAAACTTAAAGTGAAAGATACTCAATAGTAACCAGTCACCCACATCTACCATCGCCTAGGCCTATGGCTAACCATGGGGAAATATATCCCCCAGAAAGACTTACGACGATATACCATAACCGTTTAATTTTTAGAATATCTTTAGAGAAAAGCTATCGTACGTACCCTTAGCACAAACTCTTACATCACTCCCAGGTGCAGGATCAAAGTTCTTGCGATTGATAGCCAAAGCCTCCTCTCGGGGTCTTTCGGAGAACAATTAAAACTCAAAGTTGAACCTTTTTGCTGTCCATTTGCACATCCAATAATAATGCAACTGTTTGCCATGACGAAGTTTCTTAGAAAAGGGTGAAAAAAGATGCGAATCTTATATAAATCGAGAAAAAAGGGACGATGTTCGCGACAGACCAATATTTAATAACGAAGTTCGTGGGATTTTGTTTTTGCTCACCACTGCCTCCGGTTGATCACGTGACAGCTCTGGTTACGTCACAATAACCGTCCCTATATGCGGAAATTTGTAAAAACCAAAGAATGCTTGTTTTTTCTTAGAGAACAACATATAATGATAATGGAAATACGTACTATAACAGTAAACATAAAATTTATTAGGGATGTAGCGCAATTCTGCCAAAGCGTAGAAGACCATAACAGTGGTCCTATTCCAATTTTCACTACACTAAAGAGCCATAAATCAGAAGAGTCAGAGGTAATTTTCTATATTACGTCCGCATAACCGATATCGACGATTTTGGTATTGTTGGATTCCTCTCACTCTATACAATGCAAATATGTAGGTTTTATTGCGCTAGCGACAAACTTGGCCCCGATAGCGGGGGCGACGATGTCGAAGCAGTGGACATAATATATAAAATTACCCTAATAATATAACCTCACAGTGAAAATAGTCATGATTATTCACAAGACTTTCCATTGCAGGGGGCTGCGCCCCCTGCGACCCCCCATGGGGGGGCTATCGCTCCCCAACCCCCGCCGAGGAAACAAAACCTCCACCACGTATTTACAGCAGGATAGAGCGCACACGAACTAGATGCGGAGCCGATAACCTACAATAACCTAGGATTTTTAAGGTACTAACCTGATTGATTAATGCCGCTAATTAGTAGGGAGGGTGCTCCTTTGCCGCAGGTGAAGGAGGCAGGGTGCGTCCGGCAGGAGGTCCTAGGCTGGAGGATACAGCGACGCTGCAGCACACAGGAAGTGGTGCAACCTCACATTCAGGTCCTGGTAGTATTTTTTCCTGGCTAGTTGCAATTTCGCGCAGAAAATCCGTCTCCGAATACGAGCACCCTCCACACTCCGCCATCGCAGCGGCTATGACTGACTTCTGAACGCGACGGTTATTTCGGTTAGGAATACGGATGTCGTTATTCCAGAGGACGGGAAACTCGACCTTGAGGCCATCGGTGTAACATCGAAAGAGGCGCAAAACCCGCCGACGAGGGCGGGCCACCCTGTTCATCCTGATTATACTACAATCGTCTCTATATACAATGCTGACTATAATAAGGTTAATATGCTGATTCAGTGGGAATCTTATGAGGTAATTGTATTAACCCCGCCGCTCCGACATCGACGATGATTGTGCTCTAGCCTGCCGGGAATACGTGGTGGAGGTTTTGTTTCCTTGGCGGGGGTTGGGGGCAGCAGCCTCCCCCAGGGGGGTCGCAATGGAAAGTTGTGTGAATACTCATGGTTATTTTCACTGTGTGTTATATTATTAGTGCTAGTTAACCCCGCATTTTCCCTGGAACCTTTCATGCCCTCCCCTGCTGTCGGGCAGTTTGTCGCTAACGGGGGGGTTTCCGCGCAATAAAAACTATATATATTTGCAATGTGGAGAGTGAGAGGAATTCAACGATACCAAAATCGTCTATATCGGTTATGCGGACGTAATATAGAAAATT